CCTCCAATTCTTTCTCCATGGCTGTCCGCCATTCTTGATCTGTTGCAGCCTCAAGGTAGCTCGTGGGTTCTTCCGAGATTAGAAATAATTCCTCTGCAGGGAGATCAATCACCTCTGTCTCTGCATAGATATCCGCTAGGGACCGGTAGCGCACAAGTTCTGGAGTCATCGCTGCAGTTTCAGGAGGTCCGGACAGCTCCAATGCAGCGGGATCTGCTGCCACAGCAGTTGTTCCTGGACCAACAACTGTCTGTGGACTGGTTCGGCCTGCAGCTGGCTGCCTTGTTCGGTCTGTCGACTGTCCATATTTGCCTCTGGTCATCTCCAATGCAACAGGAACTGCTGCTTCAGCGGCTGTTCTTGGACCAGGAACCATCTGCGGGCTGGTCTGGCCGGCTGCTGGCAGTCTGGTTCGAAACGGCTGTCCAGTTTGGGACTGGCTGGAAATAGCGCCGGCTGCTGTAGTTTCGCCTTCCACTGTTAACTCCACCCAGCTGGGTGCTCTCTCGTCTCCGTTTGTGCTCCAATCCCATTCTTTTCCTTCCTCGAACACGACATCTCTGCTGACATGAATTTTGTCGTGTTGAGGTTCATAAAGGCGATGCGCTTTGCTTCCTTCTTCTACCCTAATATACACCATTGGCGTGCTCCGGTCGTCGAGTTTTTTATGAGAAGGACCTGCAATTTTCACATGTGCCACACATCCAAAAACTCTCAAGTGTTCTAGGTGGGGTTTCTTACCAAACCAAGCTTCGTAAGGTGTGTGGTCGTACAATGCCTTGGTTGGTAGTCGGTTGAGAATGTACACCGCATGCCTGACCGCTTCACCCCACATTGTTCCAGGCATATGCATGCTTTTAAGTAAGCTTCTCGCCATGTCCATCACCGTACGGTTACGCCTCTCCACTACACCGTTTTGCTGCGGGGTGTACGGTGCAGTGAGATGACGCTTGATGCCGTAGTCTTCACATAACTTAGTGAACTCCTTTGACAGAAACTCGCCACCACGATCTGTCCTCAATGTCTTCACCTTGTGGTCACATGCGTTCTCAACCTCTGTTTTGAACTTCTTGAAGGTTTCACAAGCTTGGCTCTTGGCCTTCAACATGTATACCCACATCCATCGGCTGAAATCATCAATAAGAAGGAAGTATCTGTTACCAGCAAGTGTAGATGGGGTGATTGGGCCACAAAGGTCAGCATGTAATAACTCCAGCGGCTTCTGAGCTCTGAAGTTTGTTTGCGAAGGGAACGGCAATCTTACTTGCTTGGCGACGAGGCATCCTTCGCATAGTTGATTCGGGTGCAAGATCTTTGGCAACCCGGAAGCCATCCTCTTATCAGTCATCATCTTGAGGGCGAAGAAATTGACATGCCCAAGGCGAGCATGCCATAACCAAGCTGGATCGTTAATGTTCGCCATCAAACACGCCGGCTTGCAAGTCTTTAACTCTATCCTGTACAATCGGTTAGTTGAACGTGTCACCCTCATCAAGAGAGCACCGTTCCTATCAAACACCCTCAGGAACTCATCAGCAATAACAACCTTACTCCTATCAAACACCCTCAGGAACTCATCAGCAATAACAACCTTACTCCCATCTTCAGTCATCTGACCAAGGCTAATAATGTTAGATTTCAAGCTCGGAATATAATATACCTCAGGTAGTAGCCTTTGATCGCCATTATTGCACTGAAAAAAGATAGAGCATTTCCCCTTGATCTCTACTGCGGATCCATCACCAAACTTGACGATTCCGGTGATGTTCTCGTCGAGCTCCTTGAACTTGCCTTGGTGACCGGTCATGTGATTGCTAGCTCCGTTGTCAATGTACCAAACGTTGTTGGCAACTTGTGCCTCCCCCGCTGTGAGTAAGTTTGGCACCACCTTCTCCTCATTGAGTAGGATGACAGTTGATTCCTCTAAAATAGTCATCATCAAGGTTGGCTCCTCGTCATATGCACGGGTGAGATGAGCCTCCTGTTCATGATTGCGGCGTTGCTTGTGACACTCCGACTGAAAGTGCCCGTATACTCCGTAATTGAAGCATTTGATGTTGGATTTGTCTCGACCACCGCTTGTGCTACTCTCCCCCTCCTGGCGAGCTGCACCTCCATGGCCGAAACTCGTCCATTGCCATCACCAATCGTCTGTGTGGAGAAGGTGTTTCCGCTGCTCTTCTTGCCCCTTGCTTGCCACTCCGCTTGCGTCAACAATAGGTGATCGTCGACGTTGTTTCGAAAAACACGTGCCCTCTCCTCGTGGGCTTTGAGACGCCCGATCGCCTCCTCGAGTGTCATGTTGTCGATGTTCCCGAACTGTTCAATCGTGGAGATGATAGTAAGGAATCTCTCCGGTACCGCCCGAAGTAGCTTTCTGACGACGTAGTTTTCCTGCATCTCGCCGCCTAAAGCCCGGATCTTGTTGACGACTCCTGTCAATTTCGTCGAAAAATCGTCGACGTTATCATTCTTCTTCATCCGGAGAAGTTCGAACTCGGACTTCAAGGTCTGCACCTTCGCGTTCCTTACACGATCCGCTCCTAGATGCATTGTTTTCAACGTCTCTCATGCCTCTTTTGTCGTCTGCTTCTCTGCGATCACCATCAAAGTTTCTTCAGGAATCCCCTGGTACATGGCCGCCAACGCCATCTGATCCTTCCTGTGTTCCACGGACACGCCTGCCGCGGGCTCAATAGCGTCCCACACGTCTTGAGCCTTCATGTAGACTTTCATCTTGATTGCCCACAAAGCATAGTTATCCCTCGATAACGTCGGGTATTGGAGAGTGAGAGAACCCACCTTGGTCGTCATCTTCTCCGAACTCGTCACCTCTTCATATCTTGGTTGGAACTTAGGCATACACGGCTCTGATACCACTTGTAGGCTCTGAAAATGGAATCGGCCTGAGTACAGACCTGTAAACAAGGATAACTTGGTTGATTTTAGAGAGAACAAACAGCAACGAACAAGGAAAGTTCTGCAGGAAACTTTTCTAAGTTTCTGCTCCTGTTGATGAACCCGAACAATTGATGAACAGGGACCTTTTTTTCGAAATCTTTATTCAGTCTATTTTAACTCATAAAGATTGTTTACATATTTATAAGATTACAACTTGAATCTTCATCCAATAACTAGAAAAACTATCCACTAACTAGTATTCAACTATAACTAGAATTCTATCTAATAACTTGGACTTCAACTAACAAATTCGGCCTGATTAACAATCTCACACATACTCATTCCAGTCTAAGTTGATACATCCATTGACCATTGTACTTGTAACTATAGGTAAAGAAACAGGTTGAAAGAGGGCAATTCTTCAAATTAAATAGAAATGATAATCAACCAAACACAACTCCTTGAAATTTGGCTCAAAGAGTAATTCTTTATAAAGTATAGCAATTTTTGTTTTGTTAGAGTATAAAATTATAACCCTCAACCCTCACAACTTTGAATTTTTGGTACAGTGGCAGAGTCCTTTCATATGGTACCAAAGCAGCCCTGGTTGAAATCCCATTGGTTACGAATTTAAAGCGGATTTAAAAAATAGATACCATTGCGTGAGTCCAGCTTTCTACCTATGAAAAGATGCTCAACCAGTGAAGACATATTTGAATATACACTGATAACCATCAGCTCTCACTAAAATTTTACGAGTTTTGGTGTAGGGACAGGGTCCTTTGACAATAGTAATACAAACAACTCGCCTAACCAATAACTCAAAAATCACAAATGTCAACAAACTCAAGGAAATCATAAAGAGAAGGATCAAATAATATGAAAAGATCGGATAAGATGAATAAATAAAGACTTGACAAACATCCAAAACTCAAGAGGAAAATGAAGGCCATTGGGTGAAGGGCTTCTACTTTTTAAGTAATTTAGACTAGAACAGTATTTCAAGAAGTTCTTATAAGGAGTATCTACAAGGACTAGCTGGTTGTTAGACAGTTGGCAATAATCGGCACCCATTAAGTTTGCACTTGGGTGCAACTGTAAGGTATTATAATGTTATTGTGGTGTTTTAATCGCGGTGAAGTCTGTGCTCCTCTTTTCCCACTTTTCTATCTTTTTGGTTGTGCATGTGCATTTGTGTATGTACTCCTTTTTCCTTTTGTTTGTTTTTTGTTTTTGTTGGTAGGGGGTGGGGGTAGGGGAGGTGGTGGAAGGGCAGCCTTTGGACCTAAGTGTGTTGCTGTAGGCAATTTTTAAGAGTCTTTAACCTGATGACCTTTTCCCTTTACATTTCGATCTCTCCCTCTTCTGCTCTCTACTTGATGGTCGAGGGAAGCCCACAGTCAATAAAAATTAGTGTCATAACCGGTGAACTGCCACCATTCATGTCACCAGAAAATCATCTTCATTTTCAAGAACAAAGTAAGGTTTTTTCGGTACTTGTTTATTATTATTATTATTATTTTACTTAATTGTCGCTTTCTCTCTCTGTTTTTATTCCAATTTCTTCCCGCCGCTTTTTTCTTCTTCTTTTTTCTCTCTTTGTGAACAGTAGCTGAACATTTTTCCCTTCATCTTTGGTTTTTCATTTTATTTTCAGTAACTACCAGGCAATGACTTATGCAGACAACTCAATTGTCCGCTTGAATAACTTTTCCACTTTCGGAGCCCTAGTAAATGTAAAATTTGGAGAAATTATATGACTTTTTTTTTCACATGCTGCTGGACAAATAGTAGACCAGAACATTCTAATCAAGTTTCAGTGTGCACACCGCCTCACATTATTTTTCCCACAAAAGTATTGATGAATTTCTAAAATGCAACTAGTGAACATGCTAATTTTAGCGGGTTCTAATAAAATGAAGAACCTTTTGCTATAAGGAGTGCATTTTAACTTTCAATTTGCCAATATATAAATATTTCTCAACACGTACAAAACAAAATCCATCAATAATCACCAGTAATTTCAACTATATATTAAAAAGTGAAAATTTTACAACAGATCTCAGATGCAAAACGCTAGATAGAGATAGAAAACTTACCACTAAATCGATTCCAGGGTGATCTGAGCCCCAAAAGATGTCATGATCAACAACGACAAAATTCCCAGTAACCGTATCGCCTTCGAAGAGAACGAATTCGTATACGCACTCGACGTCGTTGACTGTGATCGAGAGAGCGGAGAGATTTCGAGGGAAGGAAATGAGAAGCCCTAGAATGAGGAAAATCTCGAAGAATTCGATTGATGGCTTCCTTCTCTCCATTAATCTCTCGATTCAAGCTCCAATAGTTCGATCTATGTGCTCAATTTTACTCAGAAAGCTAGGATTTCAGAATCTAACCAAGGTAAGGGATGAAGATTGAAAGCGTTTTTTCCCCTGTTGTTTTTTTACTTTTTTTTTATGCCCTTTAATATTTCTGACAGAACAGGAAATTGGTCGGGTTTAACTGCCCTCAAATCTTCAATAATTCCACATTACTCCCATTCATCAAAATAATTGCTCGCTAGGCCCTCGAATCCTAAGGGGTCTTGCAAGTTGCTCCCCTTAGTTGTGATTTCTCTTTTAGAACTCATCTTCTTAGGAAAAAGTGTTATTTGAATTTGATACTTTAAACTTTATACATTTTTAACTTTAATACCTTAAAAGCTTTTGACACATTGATACCCAAAAGTTTACACTTTTTTAAACGTTAATACCTTAAGGTTTTTTTTCTAACAATTGTAATACAACAAAGTATGTACCTTTTTCAATTTAATATCTCAAACTTTTGTTTCTGACATTTTGATACCCTAAACTTTTAGGGTATCAGAGTTAAAAAATGTGTAATTAAGGTATTAAAGTGCCAAAAATACTTTATGGTATCAAACTTTAAAAAGGTAAGAACTTTAGAGAGCCAAATTGCAAAGAACGCTTCAAAAAAATATTAGCTGAGGGTATTTTGATCGTTGAGGGATCAAATTGCAATAAGACAAGGGATTTGAGAGACTCATGAGCAATTTCATCGATCTGACGGACTAGTATGGGACTGTTGACGAAATGAGGGACTAATATCTAAATAACCACTAACTCTTTTAGCATGTTTGCTATATCTACTCCCAAATAGTAACTTTGGGAGTTGGATTGCCGAAAATGCCCTTTTGGATTTGGCCTGGTTTGGTTTGGGAGAAGGGCAATTTAGTCCTCACACACCCCCAAAGTTACTGTTTGGGAGTGTGAATAGTTGGACCCCTCTTTTAGGTGGCTCATTTGGGAAAAGAATGGACTTGTATTTTTGTGTCCACTCACTGTCTTACTGTATGACGTGGCAGACTCTGGTTCGCTATGCTCACGTAGCAAAATGAATGCCGGATGCGTCTTTTTTTACTCGCCCCGTTTAGGGGCTGTTTGGTTGTTGTTGGTAAAGTTATGTATTTATGACACAACTTGGAAAGTTGTTATCCACCTCATCAATTTTACTTTTATACTTTTCTTTGTTTGTTTTTTATTCCATTGGAATCATAAATTGCTTGTTTGGTTAGTAAATGTAAATTTAATTGTTTGTTTGGAAAGTGTAAAAAATGGTCCCTACTCAAATGATCATATTGGTTAGAATTATTTTTTATTATTTTTTCCTGACTTCAATGTCAGCTTTCTCCTAAAATCATGTCTTTTTTTTATGAAATCACTTTACAAGCCACATCAGCATATGAAATCACTTTACACTATTTTCACAACTACAAACAAACAATTGAAAGTGATGAAAGCTGACATTGGGACCCACTTTTTTACACTTTCCATCATTTTACATGGTAAAAACATACAACCAAACAGCCCCTTAGGGCCTGTTTGGTTATTTCCTAAAAAAACCAAGAAATAGAAATAAAAACTAAGAAAACTCAAAAAGTACAATTTTATCTATTTCCATCCCTAAAACTTATTCATAACATCTAATAAAATATTATTTTTATCCAACAACTCATCTACCACATCTAATAAAATATTATTTTCATCCAACAACTCATCCATTACATCCACCATAACAAATTTTGAAAACAGACCCCTTTGCAAAAATATTCCCAAAAAAAGACTCATTTCCACTTTATTTTCAAAAAACGACCTAGTTTCAGCCTCAGTGTTGAAATTGGGTCGGTTTTTGGGAAAAAAGTTCCCAAACTTCACGGGAGTTAAACTCCCATGAAGTTTTGTTATGTAAAAAACTTCACAGGAGTTCAACTCCCGTGAAGTTTGTGAACTTTTTTCACAAAAAACGACCCAGTTTCAGCCTCAGGTCTGAAACTAGGTTGTTTTTTGCTAATATTTTTAAAACGGGTCTTTTTTTGGGAATATTTTTACAAAAGGGTCTGTTTTCAAAATTTGCCCAATAAAATATTATTTTCATCCAACAACTCATCCACCATATCTAATAAAATATTATTTTTATCCACAACATCACTCAACTCATCTCATCACATCATTTCAAATCACTCACATTATCCAATAAGATGGTAACAGCTCATCTCATCTCATTAACATTTCATTTCCACCCATTTCCTCCCAAAAAGCTAGGAAAACAATTTCCTTATGTGTGGATCACATCATCCAATAATATAATGACAACTCATCTCATCTCATCTATTTTCTTATTTTTAAGAAATAATGACAACTCATCTCATCTCATCTATTTTCTTATTTTTAAGAATGAACCAAACAAAAGAAAACAACCTATTACTTTAAGAATGAACCAAACAAAAGAAAACAACCTATTACAAGAAATAGGTTTCTTATAATTTATTTCCTTTTTTTTTTTGCCAACCAAACAACATCAAAACAAGTTTTTGTCAACGTCGATCGATACGAAACCCTAAGGTCAATGCTGGTCAACGCGTAGCCTTAGGTCAACGTCAGTCAACGCGTTACGATGAAAGTCAATGTCGATCGATGTGAAACCCTAAGGTCAACGCGTAGCCCTAGGTTAACGACAGTCAACGCGTTGTGATGAAAGTCAACATCGGTCGATGTAAAACCCTAAAGTCAACGTCGGTCAACGCGTAGCCCTAGGTCAACACTAGTCAACGCGTTGTGATAAAAGTCAACGTTGATTGATGCGAAACCCTAAGGTCAATGCCGGTCAACATATAGCCCTATTTTAACGCCAGTCAACGCGTTACGATGAAAGTCAACACCGATCAATGTGAAACCCTAAGGTCAACGTCGTCTAATGTGTAGCCCTAGATCAACGTCAGTCAACGTGTTGCAATAAAAGTCAACGCCGGTCGAAGTGAAACCCTAAGGTCAACGCCGGTCAACGCGTAGCTCTGAGTCAACGCCGGTCAACACGTTGCGATGAAGATAATCAGTTCAAAGTCAACTCAATGACACGAGCTAAAACCAGCTCACCAATTTCGATTCGAGACTTCGACGATGACCAGATGATAAACGTAGCGCCAGAAGAACTTCAACTATTCATCAAAATATTGAATAGACTGAAAATCAAAGAAGTCAAAGATCGAAGCTGACTACAGGACCTTTCACACCGACTGAAGGTTGGACCGATCACATCCAAAGTATTTCAGGCCCTTCTATAAAAGAAACGAGACTGAAACACTTTGGAGAGGGTATCTGTAAGTGTCAAATTTTGATTACGGACTCTCGCATGAAGCTCGAAGCAGAGAGAAGACGATGAACGTCAATATCCGAGTCGCATAAGCTTAATTGACGTCGATGAGCGCATGAAGTAAGTCAACGAACCGTATGAAGCAACGGAACTGCAGAATAACGAAGATACAAACTGATCAGAAGCTACACTTCGCTTACGAAAGACGAAGCATCCCTCATGTCCCATCTACACTACATGTGATTCAACCATGAGAGCTTGTAAATCTCCTTGTCGGCTTTCCTTCTCACTTTGAATCGCGCAATTGCGAGTTCGGACGACGAAGATACGACAAAAATGGACGGGACGCACAAAAATATGCCCCGGGCCTTGGTGGAGACACTACGAGTGTCTCGGCCATGGCCGAGATAATGCGGGTGTCCGCAGACCCAAAAATACAGTTTTGAGCTGTCTTCAACCGTTAACCATCTAGATTTATTCCAACTGATCTAATATTACCCAAGAACATGATAAAGTGGTTATAATTGAGGATAAGATCGAATCGGTCGTTCTTATCCGAAAATGGAGGTCCCGAAGCCTATAAATATAGCCCTAGGGCCTTCATTTGAACGGATCTGGAATTCTCGAGCCTTGGCGAAGTCCTGCTAAATCAAAGACTGAGGAGCACAAATTTCAGAGCCTTGAGATCGTACCTAGCTGCGATCTCGAGAAGAGTGGTTATCTCGCTGTTGCCGAGATAATTGCTTCAGTTTCTTGATTCCTTCGCGAATCAACAAAACTCCGGATTGATCTGATCGCTTGGTAGTCCACGGATATTAACGTCCCTGGCACAAGTAAAGATCCTACGCAAGCAGCGGTAGATAAATGTATGTTGCGTTTGTTTGAGAAGAGTTGTAATTTTCTTTATTTCATTGTGTAGGGAGATCTTATAAAAAGATCAGACTTTTAAACTTATTATAACGACTATAGCTGTAATAAGTTGCACAATAAAAACATTAACTTTTCACCCAAACACCTATACATACCCCTCGCTATTTCAGTTCTGAAAAACATCTAAGTAGGTTTTCAGCTAGAGTTTCAAAGGGTTTAAAAGATCGTTTAAGTTTCTTTTCAAGTTTGGTTTTTGTTTACAAAGAGGAGGCTTAAAAGTTATTTTTATGATCTTTCATTTTTATAATTTTTTATATTTGTAATTTATGTCATTTCAAGTTATTAATAATATGATTAATTTTTTTATTTTCTATAATTTTTTGTAATTTTTTATATATATTTTAAATTTTAAAGAGATTTTTAAAAATTGTAAAAAAATTAAAAAATAAAAAAACCAGACAAAACCCGAGCCCGCCCGGAGCCCGGCCCGGTCAGGCCCGATCCCAGGCCCGGGCCCAGGTCTGGGCTTCGGTTTTGTTCGGCCCGGTTTTAACCGGCTGAGCCGCGCCGGCCCGACCCGGATGGACAGGCCTATTCATGATAGCTAACTGATTAATCAAGCTCTTGAACTCATTTAAGTGCCCTACTATGTTTCATCCTTTGAACTTCAAGTTCACCAACAGTGTCATAAGCCTTGTTTCCTGCGGTCTTCTGCTTGTATAGATCCTCAAGCTTCTTCCAAAGAGACTTAACATTAGTCTCACTCGATACATGATAAAACACAATAACATTGATCCACATCCGAATATAATTGATCACCTTCATGTGTTGTTTCTCCTGTTCTTTATCAGTCATATTTTTTGGCCTGACCTCATCTCTCTCAATAAGGTCATGTAAATCTTTATAATACAGAATATATTCCATCTTGAACTTCTATACTCACCA